CTGTGCGAGTCTGCGAGAGCAGCTGTGCGAGTCTGCGAGAGCAGCTGTGCGAGTCCGCGAGAGCAGCTGTGCGAGTCAGCGAGAGAAACTGTGCGAGTAAGTGAGAGAAACTGTGCGAGTAAGTGAGAGAAACTGTGAGTAAGTGAGAGAAACTGCGCGAGTAAGTGAGAGAAACTATAGTATGGGTATATTAGTACAATTCAGTGGGATAAAAAGAAAAACATACTGAGATTTAATCTTAGAATTTTACAATTAATAAGATCATTTTCTGTCATCAATAATTCTATTAAAAGTTATTGAATCCAAGAAAACACAACAAATAACAAAAACTACAAGCTTCTTTTGTTTGTTAATACTTTAAGACTTTGTCGATGTCAATAAGAGTGAAAAAAGAAACAATTAATTGACTGTAAGGAAAAAAAGGAGTATTAATAAAGATGTTACTCAGAGTGAATAGGAATATACTATGCTGTAAAAAGAGGAAGACATTAGGTATTAAGAATTCAAAAGTTGCACAACTGGGTAGGTTCTTTATACAAGTGAGGAGTACACAAGTCCGAAGTGAGTAATAATTTTATAGAGCTTAATTATTCGTTAGATTTTATTTTTGCTGGTAGATAATTGCACTTGATTAAAACCTAGTTAATAAGCAAAATTTTAAATTTAAATTTCCTACACAAACCAGTGATAAAACCAAAATCCACTAAAATTAGACCCAGTGAATATTTAAATTATTTAAACATCGACTAAACATCTAGATAACACAATACACAGTTCCTGTGAAATTATAGATGCTTTAAAGTTTGAATTGCTATATACTTATGACAACTATTTGTGTAGCTTATTTACAAACACATGACTGAGTAGTATGTTTTATGTTCTGTTTTACCTAATAAATCAATTCATATGGTAATAACTTTAAAATCTACCTTCTCCACACAAAATATGAGTTATACACTCAACGGTTCCAGAAAAGAAGTTGAGGAAAGCTTTAATGAATAGTAAAAAAAAACAACTTCAAATTAACAACTCAAATGAAGATTTATCTATTCCAACAATTAATAGCAATGATTCGGGTAACGTAAATTTTCCTCGGCTCTACTTAAGTTTGAAAAGTTTTAATTTGAGACTAATTTTAATACTCTCATCGCAATACTGGACCGTATTTCAAATCAGCAATATTGCAAGTTAACCCGATAACAGAAAAGATGATTTTGGGTCATGAGACAAGTCCACAGGAGAACTTAGTGCACACTCAGAACAAAACCGAAAACATTGGAATACTAAAATTGTAACATCCTAACAGTTGTTCACATCTGCTAACAACAATCAGTGAAACAATTTTACAAAAATTAATGCACCCAGTAGCAGTGCACATGGAATGGGAAGGGGGGAGTAACTTGTGGAACAGAGCAGAGACTTGTGGGACAGAGCAGCGCTACATAGAACAGAGCAGAGACTCATGGGACAGAGCCTTGCCTATGATACTAAAGGTCACATTATAAATACTAACTGTGAGGGTACGTCACTGGTAGCATCATTTGAGCTTGGCAACTGTGAGAATCGTCTCTCCTGTGAAGAAGGCGGCACAATCGAGCCGTTTTGATGACGATTGGGTGTTTGAGATTCACCAAACAACTGCTGATGGTGCTGTAAATAAGAATGTATGGATGAGACATAAAAATGTGCATCATGACAAAAACTGAAATACTACCACGATGACACATTTGCGACATAAATTGAAAGCTAAAATTCAGCCACTATAAAACGAAAACATGGAAAGAACAAAATGTGCACGAGAGCGGTAAAGCAATGCAGAACAAAACATTTACATAAATGGCATGAAAATTATGAGCAATTTACTATCTACATGCCCCCCCCCCCCCCCCATAAACTGAAGTACCCAACCACTGAGAGGACCAACCTGGAAAGATTTTTACATTGATTTAACAGATGACTTACATGATGTGTTGGTTGATCAGCAGTTTTTAAAAGTCCACCGGAATAATCGTTTGGTGGGGGTGGTGGCGGGGGTACTGATTGCCTGGGATCTCTGTTATAATCAGGCATTGGAAAACTGCCATCCAGTTCAAGTAAATTGCCTTCACTTCGATATCTTTGCTTCATTTCTGGCAAGTCTTGACTGAGGGAAAAAAACAAACAGAAAAAAACCACATTACTAAATGCAATCCATGTTATTTATATGCAATATGTGCAAATAATGTAATTTACGGCGAAAGCCATATTCTATGTATATTCAGGGTTCCTTATTGACAACAAGCAAAAGTGACATCGATATTGAACATTGAGATATCAATATGGGAGTTTGTTGTGGTCATAGAGTGAATAACGCCCTCAGTGTTCATTATCAGACCATGTCTAAATTTCAGTTGCATAGAACATTGCAATCTTGTTATTTGCCCCCCCCCCCCCCCCTTCCAAACAATGTATGCTTCTGAATATAATTTTTACTGTGGCTGCAAATTTATTTCATACACCAAGCCAGCTTAAAAAGTTGTCTTTACAATAAGTCTTATACTTTTTATGCCAGATATACAAGTTTGATTTTTACTTACACATTACCGCGTTGTAGTCCTGGTATATTTGATTCTGTGTAGGCTATAGGAAACCATCCAACTTTATTACTATTCATATTCTGACCAAATTGCCAACCATTTTTCTTTTCCCCAATAACAGTTATAACATCACCCTGCATGAGAAGAAAAACAGTGAAAATGCTAAACATGATCAAAATGTTAGTAATTCACTGTGCTTTAAATTAAAATCAATGTGAATAATTAACTGTACCCGGTAATACTCAAAATATCTTGAAAAAAAACAAAGTAATGAAATTCAAAAAAAAATTGGTAATTTACACAGAACAAAGCGAATATTCAGTATATGTATCAAGCAAGTTATTACAATCACAACTTCTGTCCTGAAGGTCAATAGACTTTAGATGAAAACGGCAAGATCTCATTGAAATTAAGAGTTATGCAACTTGTTTATATCCCTAAACAATATACTATTCTTTCCCATCATCAAGTTCACTGTCACAAAGATGTCATAGATCAGTTACATAGCCTATTTATTGGAACAGAGAAACAGAAGATGCAGCGATGGTAGAGAATGAAACACAAGTTGAAGTCACATGGTTCTCTCAGTCTTACTAAGATCTCAGGGCTCAATATGCAAGATTCAAAAATGCAACTTTAAGTTCAATACTTTACCTCACTAAAACTGAGTTGATTTTTTCCACTGGCAGTATGAGTGTATAAGGCACATACTTGATTACCACCTGCCAATAATATATCTGTAGTGCCGTCTGATCTATTCCTCACATGGCCACTTACACCATTGCCTTCACAAGTAGATAAGAAATATTCCATTGTCAGTGTAAAATTGAATTGCCATATTTGCTCTGTTAGAAGCATTTATTATGTGTTCGATCTCTTAACATTTAGTTGATGTTGATTTTGCACACCTCTGTCATTTACGGAAATGTATGCGCTTTTAATATAACAAATATGATAATGTGAATTTTTTGTTGCATTCATACGTACCAGTAATCTAACATGTGTCACTTATATGATGTACCTATGTGTCATCATAGAAATATTTAAACACCTTTGACAGCTGATAGAATGACCTTTAACCCCTATTTTACATACGTTTAACTCAAATTTTACTCCATATGTTACACTGTACACCACTTTAAATTCGTGCAAGACATTTTCACAAATTTTTCAAGTGTCAGCGAGTTTTGCAAAATTTGTTTTTGTGAATACAACAAATCATCAAGTCATGAAAATTCCTATCAGCGAAAAAAAAAACTGTTTAAATTTGTCGGCAGTGTTTATCTGGGTGGTATACAATATGTTAACACCTGGACCTGGAGATTGACAAAAGCTGATGGGGAATGGTGGGTTAATCATGAAAGATCTAGTTTCAGTTTCAATGAAATAAACAATTTTAAATATGCCCAATGATGTGTCAATCAATTTTGATTGAATTAAATTATGCCATATTAATTTTAATTGTGCTTTATTTCAAATGAAATGGACATTACTATTTATTGAGAACAGTCCTAGATAAAAAATAAAAAAGGTATTAAAAAACCTCTGCAGGTTATTTTGTGCTAAACAGGATTTCGTTTTTTTTTTTTTTGGGGGGGGGGGGTTGTGGGAGCTATCAAATTAAGAAAGTTTGTTGGATACTTTCTTTGGACCCAAATGCACATTTCTAGATGGCATATACTTTACTAGATTACTGGGAATGTGACAGATTTTTCTTTCACAGTAATTTTTAAAATGTCGATTCATGTTTTTTTCAGTTAATTTCACAAACCATTAACTTTCAACTTGTTAAGATACATGCAAATTCGTCATGCCTAAAAGGAAAAAAAAAATTGCCGTGCACTTGCAGATACTATTGGACATCTGTAAGTTAGCTACAGCATTAATGAAATAACAGACTATTTGTAGGTTTCTGTATCATGTGGTACGTCATAATTATCATTACATCCTTTTTGTTCATAATTGATTGTTGTGAAAATACCCATTCTCTATAATACCAAGTGCATGCCAGTACCAATTATATTTTAAGTACCATGCACTACAGAAAAATGTGAGTGATTGGTGGAAATTTGAGTAAACATGAGCCGTTGACAGTGTGCATCGAGCAAAAAAATCAAATGAGCCATATCACACACATTTGAAACCTGCAAATTGTCGATGGATTATTTTAAACATAACAATCAATACTAAGCAGTTAATGCATATTGTTTAACAATGAGAATTAAGTATACCTTCCATTATAGAATGTTTATGATGCCTCAAAGTGGACTCATTTGATGAATGACGCCGTCCCGGTACACGTATTCGCTTAGAAAAGATGGAAGAATACTTTCCAAATACTAAATACGCATGATGATGAAAAGAAAGGAAGTAACAGAAAATATTAAAGTGGAGATGAAAGCTAGAATATCAACCGTTACGAGTTGAAAGAGTGGAGATATGTATGTATGCATACATTACCTGAATAGGTCTGTGGTGTGTGTTGTCTCATTGCAGGACTTTGTTTATTTTGTTTCTTGGGGTTTGGTAATGTTGCACTTGGATACGGCATGACTGGTCCTGGTCCAATATCAACAGTGAGGGGTTCATCTAATTCCTAGCAAAATAGACAAGTCATTCTGAATTGATGTATCACAATAAAAAAAGGGAGAGGGAACTATATTTTAATATTGACATGCTCAACTCGAATATGGATCTTTATGCTTTATTTTCTAATCAGAGTAATGGATTAATATTAAAGCTGAAAAAATTGTAATGCCATTTCTAATCGTTAAATGTCTTTTGTTACAATTACAATGTTACGCTGTAAACGTTTTGCACATTTATGCATCTTCCTTATTATTTAATGTTTGACAATGGACATCACAATTTTCTCATTATCAACATTTTTGAACAAAAATGTGGAAATTTCAAAATATTACTTTGAAGGAAGGTGCCAAATGTTACCTCGTGTTCACAAAATCAGTAAAATTGTGTCAGAGAAAAAATGGACACACAAACATATCTTCAAGTTCAAATTTGTACACTTTTTAATGTTCATTTCAGATCGGGATTCATTAATTTGCGTTTAAATGCATACCTCGTTTATTTGTGGACTGTCACCTTGATTGAAAACGCTATCACTGCCATACATGGCTATGTTTCGCCCATAATGTTGTCTTCTTGGAACCTCAACTTCCATCACACGCGTATCATTACCATCCGCTGCTATACCTTGCCTGAACTGTGTGGTAAATACATTAATGCAGTTAAGTTTTATCCATCCCAAATATCATGACAGTTCTAACGTTTACAAAATCATTTTTCAGTTTTTGTGTTTCAAATACAGGAAATCAAATTTTTGATCCTACAATAGTAAATATTACTTAATTTATCCTTTCTATTTACTTAACAAATCTCATCTTGTAGGGATTTTCTCTATATAATTCTTCCACAATCACAATGAAACAATAACTCAATTCAAAGAAAATTAAACTGCTCCCTATTTTGTCATAACAGAGCAAGGCGAGGGGATGTGCACACTGTATTTTAAAAACATAATATTTAGAAAAATGTTATTTTGGATATTAATTATGTGAAAAAAAAAAAAAAGCACACTTTAGCATCAGCTAAAAAGTACAGAACACTAAACTTTTAAATTCAAGTTGCTTTTTACTTTTGATATTCTGAAAATCCTCAGATTGTACTCGCCAAGCTCTGACACGAACCAATTCTACAATGTACTCAGGGGTTTCTCTAGAAAAAAACTGCAAGAGGGAGCAATTCAGTGGCGCCACCAAGTGGGGGGAGATAGGGTTCTCCCTACCAGGGTGTGGAGTTTTTGATAATTCTAAGTTGAAATGAAGCATTCTATGGCTTCCTTGGGGCCAAAATTACTATCAGACAGGTCGCAGTTGAAGATTGTAGCCACATGTGATCCCTGATCAATCAGAATTTTATGGTTGCCAGAGGATCGGCTCCCCAGTTTAAGGGGGCGCATGGCCATGGCATGAGGGCGCTGCGCCCCTGTTCCCTTGTTTAAAAAAATCTCTGATGTACTTAATATGAAAGATATTTCGGCAGATTAGTCTGCACAATTGAGATATATGGTGTTCTTGAATACAAACTGAGCTGAGCACTTGAAGGGTTAAACCGTGTTGCTAAATGTTAAGTTAACGTACTGTAATGTTTACTTACCATTTGTAAAACGTTATCACATTCTGGTGGCATTTGGTTTGGTTTATCACAAGCTGAATTCCAGTCTGGTATCCTATGGCGATATAAACTGTGTGCCTAGTAATACAAAATATCATAGTCAAGCTCCAACGGTACTCTTCAGATAATATATAGATCATACAATTTAATTTTTGGCCACCTGTATTGCATCAGAGGTACATTACTTTGGGTTTGCAACTACGGTGACATGATGCCAAGATCCCGTTTCAATTTTGCTCTCACAAAAGCGTTCCAACTCAGAAAAATGCGAATGCGCATGCCTGAGGTAACTAGGATGTTTAGATGTCCAGGTGGATCAAAATAGCTGTTCACGATATGACGGATTAGGATAACTATATTTTCTGTACATTTTCGATGTAATACATGTTTTATTGTTTTATTACAAACCGCCTATGCATGTCAGAAGGTCGTAGCATCAGTCTCGCTATTTACGAGATGAGACTTGAATGGGATCTTGGCATGTTGTCACCATACAGTACTATGCGCGTTGCAAACCCCAAGTAACGTACCTCTGATTGAGTTTATATTTGCCGACAGAATAATGTCCAAATCACTGCAAAGTAGGCATATAGGTTTCACACCACAATTGGAATTTGTATCATCAAGCAATTATTTATAAAGGCAATTAAGAACCCCCCCCCCCCCAGTAGTCTCAAAATAGAATGTGTGGATAAATTTTAAGATGCATGATATTTATTTTTAATAATTTTGACACATTTTATGTTTTTCATTTGTTATAGAAGTTACGTTTCAGAAATTTTACAAAATGGGAAAGCAACTTTATCAAAGTTGCGCTTCACAGTAAATCCCAACCTGCTAGCACCTCAATAAAGTACACTCAATGGATACATACATTGCCATGATAGACTGTACTAGACTTCATTACTTCACACTGCCTTAAAATAAGGAAGCAATACCGCCGCCTTTCTTCTTTCCATGCCTGCAGAAAGATACAAAAAATATTGTAAACATATCAAATGCAATGAGACATGGTTCTGGAGATTAATAACAAAAACATTGCATGTTAAAGTGTGGTAGTCATCGCGCCACGCATGTGTGAGATTATATGGGTCTCATATAAACAAAGACGGCGACTTTGACTGTAGCGCAAATCAACGAGTACAAACTGAGACATTACCATGCTTTAGTTAGGTATTTTCAGGTGATTGAAAAGTATCGAAGGAGTCACTGGTGGTAATTAGTGCAAGTCGCGCCCAGATCAAACCTCATACTTGTGATTTCAATTTGAAGAGTACATTGGATTGTTGGGAATAATCAATAGTTATCAACACAAATGTCGCACATGCGCAGTGCAGCGCAGCGCGGCGCGGCGCGGCGCGGCGCGGCGACTACTGTCCTTTAAAGGAGAATCCGATTCACACCAAATGTCAGTAAAGACCAATATACGGTCATCTGAATTTATCACTAATATATGGTCACCTGATTTCATCACTTCTAACTATAAATGTTACCTAGATGTATACAAGCAAAGATTCATAATATGAGGCTATGTAGGTTGTGCGATTAGGTGATGAAGATCTTGTGAGAATCCTGGGAGAGTCGCGCAAATTGTGCAATGATCAGGAAATAGACAAGTTTTGACTTCTGTAGTTACCTTAGAAAATTGCATGCTCTGGTGTAAAAACTGCATGAGGGGGGGGGGGGGGTTGCGTAAATGTTCGATAACTAATCAGAATGCTGGGAAACAGGATAACCAGCGAGCAATCAACCCCCATTTCTCGCACAGAAACAGACTGATGGCACTATCATACGAAACTTTTCTGCTGTACAATGAACATTTCTCAAAATACTAATACAAACGATATATATTTTCAGATGAACTGTCATGTTTGCATCGATACTTACATCTTTCAATCCCTGCACTCTATATTCATCTAAATCTTGTTGCTTCTGAAGATAATCATATTCACACTTCCGTTCTTTATCAGTATATTTGGCTACATTTTTTTGACTTTTCTTTTGAACCTTTTTGTATTCGTTCCGAGCCTTTTCTACTGACTGTAAAATACAAGGGAAACATTACTGGTATTAGAGAAAAAATTAGCACAAACACTGTTCAGAAATTTTAGCATTAGTTATTAAATTTTTGCTGCTAGACGTGTTTACTATTTTATAATTACAAGTATATTTATTGCCAAGGACACAATTTTGCAAAAGTCACTGAAATCTTTTCTGCTACAAGATTACAAGTTTTTCCCACGGCTTGCAGAATTTGCAATATTTTACATCGCATAAAGTATTGGAAATAGCTCTTATATAATTTCACAAGAGAAACATTTTCGAAAATTTCGCACAAAAAAATTGCAACCATTGAAAATTCATAGCAGCAAAAATAAACAAGTTAAAAGTATCATTTACCATATGTAGTTGATACCAGACAGGTTGACAGTTTTTTTTACATATAGTCCACTATCGACTCAAAAAAGGGTGCCCTCTGCCTTAAAAAAAAAAAAAGGCAGTAGTCCCTCTGATCTTAACACCCCTCTAACACAATGGGTGCTTCCAGTCCCAACCTGAGTCAATAGTGGCCAGCAAAGTCTATCAGACCTGATGAGGCACCAGAAGCCACCATTCTTTGTAGGATTTCAGCAAATTATAAATAATCATTAATTATGAAAATTAATTATTAATAGTAGCCCCATGATGAGCAATTACTCAGCAATTTGTTTTATTACGCAAATAACAAAATGCTAATCAGATAGTTTCAATAGAAACTTTCATGGATGCCCAAAGTGAAATACTTATCCTTTTCTATCAAACTTTAGCAATAATCACAAACTGAAAAGTTATCCATGGTCTTGATTAAAGTCGACAGCAGAGCTAAAATGTAATGTATTTGCTTTTTAGTAGCTTACATAAAAGACCATGTTCAAAACAAATAATATTTTAATGATCCAGTATACAATTCCTATAAATGATGCACTTCTAATAGAGTAAATACAGGATAGATTTCTTATTTTCTCTCTTCATTTCAACCCTTTGAGTGCAAAAGTCAAAGTTTGTTAACAAAATTAAATACGTTACATTTTCAGATTTTTTTTCAAAAATATTGATCAACTCTTACAGCAAATATAAAGTTATGACTATTTGGCCCAAAATGAACAAAAAAAATTATTGAAAATTACTTAATAACAAGTCATTGTCAATGACACGTCCCCGTTCCGTTCATATTTGAGTGACATATACATTCAAAGCAGATCATGACCGAAATGCACCTGCATATGTACAACACATTGTGCTAAATCTGAACAAAATCCATCCATGCATGACTGAGATCCGGTTCTGGAATTGTGAAAATACGTGATTTTGATGCATTTTCGGCCTTAAAATGGCCATCATTCCGCTATTGTTAAGCAGATCATGAAACAAATGCACATATCTATTTGTGACATGATGTACCATGTGTGTGTGAAGTTTGAACTTGATCAATCCAGACATGTCTTGGATACGAATCCAGAACTGAATTCTTTAACAAAATGGCCGCCAGTCGGCCATTTCGAACTTGATCCGAAAAAAAAAAAGACGTGCATCAAGGTCCTATTATGTTT